AAATTCTTAGTTTGTTGATAACTAAATATCATTGTGCTACTGGGTGACTTTTTCACAGACATCAGACCTGTAGGCTGACTCACAAATGGGGGAAGGGGGTTTGTTTTTTTCATAATGTGGACCTAAATTAAATTTTTAGCTAAATTAGTTAAATGCACGGTTATAGTGTGCAAGAACTGGCTGGAAGAGCAGTTCATAACAAAATACTATCTCAAAAACAGTTCATAAGAAAAGAATTTTAAAATAGAACAATAAAAGAAGAGAACCGGACCTTTTAAGGTTGTGGTGTGCTCTTCCAAACCCCCGAACCCTCCCAGCCTATGGGCCTGGACATAATGGTATTTAATTAACAGCTGTTATTATTATTGCAAGTCTTTGTACTTGGAAGACTATGACATTTTTGCTCTTGTTTCAACTAAGTTTTTCTTGGTAAAACATTCTTCATGATAAAGTTTATTGCTATCATCAACCCATCGTCCGGAGAATCCATCGTCTGGTTTACATGCAATGACATCACAGCAGCTGCTACACCTTGGTCCAGCATAATTCATGTAGCACTCTTCATGGTATTTCTGGCTGTCGTATATCCCCCATTTGCCTGATAGTCCTTTCGATGGGTCAGCAATGAGCGCAAAACAGCAGTGTTCGCACTTGGGGCCTTTATACTTCATGTAACACTCAGAATGGTAAGCCTGTCAAAGCAGAAAGAAACAATTATCAAATCAAGCAAACAACATCAACATTAGATTGTATATCTCTTATCATGCCAACACCATCCCCTCCCTCCCTCCCTCCCCCCCCCTAAAAAAACACACAAAAAATTTTCATTTAACAATTAGACCTGGAGTTCGAGTGGACTACAAGCTAATAGCTCATGAGGCCGAGTCCGCGAGGCCGAATGGGCTATTAGCTCGTAGTCCACGAGGCCAAGAGTTAAATAGTAAGCTAATATCTTAGCCAATCAGGATGCAGAACGAGAGTTTGACCAATAGCATCTTTACACTGACACCAAGTAGTGGTGTAGTGAGAATAGGAAATCTCCCAGAAAAGTCCTTTTGAACCTGCTGAGATTTTCTTGACCTTTAGTTAAAAAGTCAAGAATTTGTAATGAATATTTATTAAATAAAAGTGGCGAAACCGTTAAAAAAGAGTAATATGCCTTGTGCATCAACACAATTGCTTTCTTTTCTTTAATGTTAAACAAGGGCATTATCGTGCTAGCTGAAAGTTCCAATATTACTTATTATGTTAAAGAGAAATAGAACTTGAAAATTCTTCCGCATAGAATTTAGGAATTAAGGTCTTCAGGTTTAATACAGGTTAATTAATTACATGTAATGCAAGATAATTTTCGATTTTCTGCTTTTTTGAAAAAAATACAAACAATACAGCTTACTTTTGAAAGGTGCCAGACCATCTTTCCAGAGAAACCCTCTTCTGGATCGTGTTTTATCGGATCAAAACATGACGAACACCTTTCCTCCTCCTCTGTGTCAGCTGGGAATTTCATATCTAACCCCTTGAGAAAAGATTCCTTTTCCTGACTAATGAAAAGAGGCTGATTTGCTGAAGACGACGAGGCGCATTCACTGTATGGCGGAGGAGGCTCGCCAGCATAAGGAGGGGGATTGTCACTCGACGGTGSCGATGCAACTTCAGCTGCCATTTTTTCGAGTTTCGACTTAGCTCTGGCTACATCGTTGTCACATTCTGCAAGTACAGCAGCGGCTTTGTCTTTTGCGAATCCAAGTTTTGTGAGTTCATTAAGTGCGGCTTTAGATTCTGAATCACCTTTCTTACTCTTAAATCGCCACATACTTTTCGTACTTTCTTAGGAAMTATATTTGAATGATGGCGGATGTCGCTTTTAAAGTTATATTTTGAGAGCAGCCCTGGTAACCAGTCCTTATTACGCAATCCGACTAAAAATAAACTTGACCTACTGTCAAAACAAGAAAAAGAAAAAAACCCGGATGGTTGAGATATAAACAGCTTTATAAAGTCATCAAGMCATTATAACTAGGTACTTAAAAATCACTTCCCAAATTTCTTTAGGAACCATTTTTGCGCTTTGCCAAATACCAAACATTAGAATTCAGCCTGTATTGATATTTTTATCTAAAATAATACTATCTATCATTATGCGTCTTCAAATTTAATCAAAGCAATCAAACGCGTCAAAGTAGTCGTCAGTCGTCGTCAAAGTATATTATAGAAAAATAATTTATAAGTTTCGCGCCGTTTTCGTACTTTACGTGGGCTTCCTGTGTTTTTTCTTTATGTTTTTTGTGCCTTCGCTGAAAAAGACGTGTCTCTGAAGTAAGCGAAAAAAAGTCAAAAATAATGAGTATTGTGCCATCTATTGGTTTTATCGGGGCCGGAAAGGCTGCCCAAGTTATGGCAAAAGGTTTTTTATCGGCTGGAGTGATAAAAGCCAGTGAAATAATCGCGAGTTCACCTCACGAAGAGGGACTTCGAGAATTTAAAGTTCTTGGATGCCACACAACCTCAGACAACAAAAAGGTCATTAAGGAAGCCACTACTGTMTTTCTCGCTATCAAGGCTAAAGTTTTTCCTACAGTCTTCAATGAAATATCTCCCTCTATCACTAGAGATCATTTGATCTCTTCCATAGCTGCTGGAGTGACATTAGATTACATGCAAAAAGCTTTGCCTGGAAGAAGTCGTATAATTAGGATGATGTTGAATACGCCAATAGAGTTTCGTGAGGGAGTTACAGCTGTTTCCTTTGGGAAATTTGCCCGTGAAGAAGACACAACTTTGATACACAAACTTATGTCTTCTGTAGGTACTTGTTTGGAAGTGGAAGAAGAGCACATGGATGTAATCACAGCGTTGATGGGAAGTGGACCGGCATATTTTTACCTYGCCATCGAAGCACTTGCCGACGGTGGTGTATTTGCCGGTTTAAACAGAGGTCAAGCTATGAAACTCGCCGCTAAAACAGCATCAGGAGCAGCGAAAATGGTTCTAGAGAGTGGACAACATCCTGGGGAATTAAAAGACGACGTTTGCTCTGCTGGCGGATCAACAATTTATGGAATCAATGTTCTTGAAGAACGAGGTTTTAGAAGTAGTCTTATCAAAGCCGTGAAGGCAGCTAGTGATAGAGCTAAAGAAATGGGAAGAACTTCTATCAARGGCTACACACCAGAAATCAAATAGTTTATTTATATTAAAAAGATGGTTTGGTTTAAACTGCACAAGAAAGTAATATTTCCTKGAGAATAGACAAATTGAATATTGCACGTGGTTTTGTAAAGCCATCGACACGTCATCGTCACAGCAYTGTAGATCATTATGTCACGCTATCCACCCGTTCGCCACCAGAGAAATAATGTTTGATTATTTCATCATCCGCATCGAGGTTAAGTGAACTGAACGCCTGCTAAGCTTTTTCTTTTATCATCGTTACAATTATACAGTATAGTGTTTCAATTATGCACCAATTAGAATCCTCCCTCGGGGGGGGGGGGGGGGGGGTAAGCTCAATGATAATAATGGCTTACATCCTGGTCACTTTATCCTCAAGATTTTCTCAACGTAATGGTGGTCAAACATGGGGAAGCCCCCACAGGGAAGGTGCATCACAATCCCAGAACCAGTGGACAAACTAAGAAAAAAATATAAATAGCCAGATTACTTACTATATTTGATTTATATATTTAAAAAAAAAACAATAAAAATTTAATGGTATTTCACAAAAGGTGAGTTCCTCCTTTTGTAGAATGCAGTTTAATGAATTCCTACATTTTGATTGGCTTAGAATGTTATATAGGTATTTCATAATATCATTATTGAACTACTTTAACCAAATAAATTGTTTTAACTTGAAAATCTAAAATGTGCCTTTGTCTTCTGATAACTCTACCCAGAAATGCAATGCGATTTTCGCGATATGCGGTTTCAATGCAAATAATTCTATAACCACACAAAATGCCTAGTTGATCAAATTCAAAGGTCCTTTGGTTTTGGCCTCTTGTCCAAAACCCTGAGGAGTAAATAAAGTTATAAACAGCAGATAAAACTACTTAATGAGGTACAAATACTTGCAAACTAGGAGAGTATTTTCAGTACATATGGAGATTTATGTTTAGCCAAACAAATGAGATGAGCAAGCAATACAGGCATGCTTCAAAACGATCAAGTCCCCAGACACGATTCAAACCCATGACCCTCCAAATACCAACCTCGTCCCCAGGGCCATCTYGGCCGACTCCTTTTCAAGATGCCGGTCGTCGTAGAGATACTCATCTCCCCGACAACCACCATCTTGAAAAGGGCTACTCATCTCCCAGACGACCGCCATCTTGAAAAGGGCCGAGATGGCCCTGGGGACGGACGAGGTTGTCCAAATACCAGTCAGATGTTCTAATAGGCTCTGACATAATGTACACCCATATGAATCATGGGTCCCCCTGTAGCTCTATGGTTTGAGCATGTGATTGGAAAGTGAAAGTCAAAGCTTTGAATTCTATTAAGTGTCTTTTTTTTACCAGCCATTTACATACAGGTTGGTTTTTGCAAATGTTTTCCACTATATTATTTTTAGAGATTAAATATTAATTTGAATAAAAATACAATATATAGCTGAGTAGAATTGAATATATGCCATCAACCATTGTCTATGATAATTTGATAATATTCCACTGTAAGATAAAAAAACGAGGGGGAAAATGGTGGTAAATAATTGGCACTTAACATTAAAAACTTAAAATTTGAATTGTTATAATGTCCTTCAAAACATTAGTATTATTACAAATACTGGTTGCCAGGGAAATTAAGTGTAATTGTTTGTCATATTCTGGTTAATACTAATAGTATTTGAATAGATCTCATTCTGAAAGGATTGGAACTGGATGTTAATGTCCACGACAATCTATTACACCTGTCTAGTAATTCCGATTTTGTTAATAACAATGACAAAGAAGATATAAATACAACTATACTAACAGAAAACATTATACTATCTTTTAGACTTTTTGGTTCTTCTTTTGCGTTTGTGCTTTGATCTTTTATGATCAGATTCTGAACTTGAAGAGGATGAGGAGGAGCTAGATGATGAATCACTATCACTACTTGAACTTTCACTTGAGCTACTTGAGCTCTCGCTACTGCTGTCTTCTTCTTCTGATGATGATGATGATGAYGAGCTATCTTCAGCTTTATCACTTTCATCTCTACATAAATTTAAAAATATAGAGCTGTCTCAGTTTTTTAATTGGTACAATTTCTTAATAAGAAAAACACAGTATAAAATATAAACACTTTTACCTTTCATAACTTGCAGTGGTAAGTGCATTTTCAGGAGCTTTTCCACCTTCTGCAGCAGACATAAGTGCTTTTCTTTTCTTGTTCATAATGGCTGTCCTCGATTGTCTGTGTACATACTTCCTTTTATTGTTACAYTCATATGTCCAGTGTCCTATCTGAAGGCATTTTTGGCATTTCTGTTGGCTCGCATCTTGTTTTCTACAAAATGGCATTTGTAAAAGAAGTTTCATTCATCAAAGTTATTCAAAGTTTAGTTATTCAAGAGCTTTACCCAAAATGAATCAGAATAATAGATAACATGGTAGTTTTTTAATTACAGAATCGATTTTGAATTGAATCCGTGCCTATTTCATACCTCTTTTTATCCAAAAGATATTGTTTAGCTAACTGAGGTCCACTGGCCGCCATCTTAAATAAAGCGTGGTCACAAAGTTTTTTTCGGAATCCATTCGTATTAGTTTCGGAAAGTCTTCGTTGTTAGTACAGGTAATGACGTAGTCGTTGGATAAATGAAAGATCACTCTGAAAGTTAGCTTATGTAACGGTGTTCAGTTCTGTTTATTCTGATTCTTCAATCATGAGCTTATGTCAATCGTCGTAGTAAGTAAGTTATCACTTGTTCAACACAATATAAACAAAGAGTAGCGTTGTGACTTAAGGCCGTAGTTAGGACCTTAGTGGGGCATTAAACCTTCAGAAGCACGAGGAATAGTAAGTTTTGATCGCGTTTTCTTACACCAGGCGAAAACTATGGGTACGACAGCTATGGATATGGATTTAAATCGAGTCAAGCGTATGGTAAAGGATTTTTCAGCTGGTGCTATGGGCGGTACAGCATGTGTACTAGCCGGTCAGCCATTCGACACTATCAAGGTCAAAATGCAGACTTTTCCAAGYCTATTTAGGAACGCTTTTGATTGYGGAATGAAGACTTTTARACAAGAAGGAGTTTTTAGAGGACTATATGCTGGAACAGTTCCTTCACTGGCGGCCAATATTGCCGAGAACTCGTTCTTATTCTTGTTTTATGGACAATGTGTAATGGCAGTTAAAAAATTGACCGGCGCCAAAGACGAGAAAGACTTAACAGTATTTCACAGAGCATGTGCCGGAAGTGGAGCTGCATTTTTCACCTCCTTTGCCCTATGTCCAGCAGAACTGATAAAATGCCGCCTTCAGGCCCAACATCAAATGAATTCCATGGCTGGGAACAATGTCAATAAAAGGTAGAAAAATTATTAGAATTTCTATTCGAATCTATTACTTGTGCTTTGGTAATAACATTAATAGTTAATTAATGACTGATTRAATATCTCCAGATAACACAATTTTTCTTTCTTTTGCTTTTGTAATATCAATCATGCACTGATGTCTATGAGCAAGTTGAAATTTCCATCCATCAATCAGCTTAAGCCCACCCACCGCACAAGAAAGGAAAGTAAGGGAAATGCCAAGGTCGCTTTGATCAGCATTTTGCACACCGTAAACAGCAAAAATTGGTGCGTAAACGCTGCTCAAAGGGACTCACATGGCATTTTCCATACACACTTTCCTTTTGTGTGCGTCAGGCTTTAACACTAGGATTACAGAGAGTTTCTAAACGTTGATTTACACAATGCAGCCTGTCGCATGTGGCTTGACAGAGAATTGTACTGTGTAAATGACTCTACGACTAGGCTTGTGGGACCTATAACATTTGAACTGCTAAAAATCCCTCAACAATAAGTAGGGATAATATGCCTCAAGTCGTGTGCGACAAGTCACTGTGTGTAAATCCATCTTCAGCCAGCCACAGCTGACAGCTGCATGTTAGTAAGTTACATTCAAGGAGAAACTATACATTGGTTACTGATGCTGTGCAACAGAGAAGCAAGCCCATTGGTAATGAACAGCAACGTTRCTGGTGGCATATTGACMACACCTCTTGYATTGGTCTCTAAAKTCATAAGAGAACTTCTGTTTCATTGTTTTCTTGCATAGCTTCCTCTCCAATCTTCACTAATATATAAATATTGATTTTAGTATCATTATTATTACCATCTTTTATATATTTTTTTTTCATAGTGGAGTTGTAAAAGTTACAATGGATATTGTGAAGCAAGAAGGGTTTTTGGGTCTGTTTCGTGGCATGACAAGTACCTGGGCAAGGGAGGTACCTGGTTACTTTTTCTTCTTTGGTGGTTATGAATTCAGTCGGTACATGATGACACCAAAGGGGGGAGATGTAGATGATATGGGTATGTACAACATGTATTTAGAGTGATTTCCCAAAAAAAAGAAATGTTCCTGTTTATTAAGCATTTGACAATATTCTAAGGGGTTCTATATGATTCTTTTGTAATAAAAACAATTCATGCAATGACAAATATTTGTTGATACTGATACATTCAGCTTTGAAAGTTATAACATCTCTTTTGTCCTGCTAATAATTAGTGGCTATCCTTCAATACATTAATGATAAATTAATAATCTATTTTATTGTCAATATAGTGACCAATCCATTCAAAATGATACTGGCAGGTGGGTTTGCAGGAACTGCATTATGGACAGCAATTTTTCCAGCTGATGTTGTCAAATCTCGGATTCAGGTATCGTAATCATTTATGAGATAACCAAACAATGTATTAAGTTTATTATTATTAAGTTCTATTAGCAGATTGTGTGGCCCCTGCATGTGCAAAACCTATGCCACTGAAGACTACATAAGAAATAATCTTTATTCAATTCCATTTTCTATTATATGTRCTGTCTGTTTCATAATTGTCCTTAGTGTCCTTGAACAGTCATGAATAGAAAATCTGCTATTCCATCTCTATGTAACTTGAGCTGGAATTAATTATAATAATTAAGTCTGTATTGTATGTTTTTTTAGATTTTTAGTTCAGGAACTGAAAAAGCTCCAGGATTTTTTGTAACCTTACTTCATGTCTACAGAACAGAAGGTAATGAATATTGTCCATGTGACATTTGTGTTTATTTTTCTATTATTAACAGTTTGTTTTTCTGCTTTTGTATAGGTTTTAGAGCTCTKTATAAAGGCTTAGGACCAACTATTATCAGATGTTTTCCTGCCAATGGGGCTTTATTCATGGCTTATGAAGGAACCCAGAAACTGCTGAAAGATGTTTGATATTACTAAAGTATTTCATAAAATGTGCACATTCATTTTAGATCCTTTACAATGTAAAATGTAATTTTTAGGGAAAATAATTTTTCCAACATAGTATTGCTACAATATTTTGTTATTTTTAAGTWATGTTAATGAGTGGACTTTATATATTTATAAGAGTGTGAATTAGCCCTAAAAGGGATTGGGAAGGGCAGAATAGTGAATGAACAGTGGTTTAAATAACCATATATTTATTTTACATGTCCGTAAAATTGACTGACACCTATTTATCATTTCACTAATTTTAATTAATAATTTATAGCAAGAATTTAGCCAAAGAAGTTTTAAAATTCAATTAAAATTCATAGTCATAACATATAAGTTTGTATTTTATATGAATTTTGATGTGGTTATTAACTATTTAAGAAACCATTTTTAAAATATAAATCCAAAGTGCTAAAAACGTAGCCATTCAAACAAACAAAAAAATGCTTTGAAGCGCAAAGGAACATGGAGAACATAATTAACAACTAACTTAGCTATTGTTTGTTGAAAAAATAACAGTCTTGTGAAGGCATGTATAACAATGTCAATGATAATTTATGCTAACATATATCATTATATCAGGTGCATCAAGGGAAATGTCATGTGATATCATTATTCACTCTTTTCTCGTTTAGTCCTGAGAAGTGGAGACTTGTGGGTCCCCATTTTTCAATGGTCAATGCCATTTCAAAACTTATATATAGTCTGATATACTTACTTCACACTAGTTTACCGCTAGTCCACACCATTTTAATACTAATATTAGTGATTATATAGGAATGTAATAAAAAATGAATAAAGTTAAACTGGAAACTTGAGAAAAATAATTGTTAACTATAGGTGGAGCAATGATGGGTTTCATATCACTTATTGTTTTAGTACACCTTGTGCTGGTGGTCTGTCACAGTAAGTAGCCTTCGCACCATTCCATAGCTTTTCTCATCCACTAGTCCAGTCCCAGCCCCTTTTTCGACCCGCTCGGTTAACGGTCCTCTCGYGGGGAAAAGGGTCCAGAAGAACTTGCATGCGCATGCGCCGCCATACACCGCATAGATAATAATGTACATAAAAAWTTYGATATTATCTTCATGTGAAAGATTAAATATCAAGCCATTAAAAAAAGGAAATAATTTTCCTCATTTGTAGTTGCCTTTAAGTTAAATAATAATAAGTTTTCCCCAACTCGTTTTTAATTGGTTCATGCCGGCGCATGCGCATGCAAGTTCTTCTGGACCCTTTTCCCCGCGAGAGGACCGTTAACCGAGCGGGTCGAAAAGGGGCTGGGACTGGACTACTCATCCACCTGACTGTTGACAGGCTAAAGGCATACCTCAAATCTAAGTCACATGTGAATAATTGAACGCTCCGTGCGTTCATATTAATAAATATTACTTACTTGTATAAAAGCGTTTCTCTGATATCAATTTATTTTTACAGCTGTTTCAATATTTCCAGATATTCTATTCATTTTCTCATGGACAATTTGAGGAGGAATAGGATCTACACATCCCATTTCTCTATAGTACCCACTGAAATGAAATCTGAAATTTGGAATGGGATGATCGTCGCAGCTTTGATCAAAATACGTACAGTCAAAACCTCGCTATTACGGACTTCCTTGGGACCGTAATTTAGTGTCCGCAGTAGCGAGAGTTACTTTCAGTCATTTCTTTGTATTTTTCGCCGGGGATTCAGTATTTATTGTCCGCAATATCGAGGTGTCCGTTGTAGCGKGGTATCCGTAAGGCGAGTCAGACTACTTCGGCGACATTCTACATTCTTGATATACTAGAGGCTTGTGAGGTGTATCAAAATTTTAACAGGGACAGAGTAGAATAATTTTGCTGTAAGAACGAAGACTATAATGTGATCCCTAAATATTAGATATCGTTGAAAATATCAGCTTTCTTGGCCTTCGCATCTTCGTACTTTTATCTGCAATATTAGGGCATAGTTATTAACTATGATTAGGGCATTTAGTCAACAAGAGACCCTCTAAAAAGTTAAGCAAATACACTCTAAATCATTATATTTAGTATTTTTAGCAAAATGAAAGCTGAAGAGGCACCAACGACCCAACTGAAGCGATCCAAAAGATACGATCAGCAGAATAGTTGCTGCAGAAAAAAAGCGACTTTTTGGGAAAAAAAACTTTTTCATTTTTATTTTTTGGGGGTGGGTGACCTCACGGCCACCTTCTTGCATGTCATTTTTTTCGGCTTTTTTTTTACCTTTTTCTTTTCAGCTCTATTCGGTTTTGTAACTATTTTTTTTTTTTTTTAAATAAAAAGGTAAAAAAAAAAGCCGAAAAAAATGACATGCAAGAAGGTGGCCGTGAGGTCACCCACCCCCAAAAAATAAAAATGAAAAAGTTTTTTTTCCCAAAAAGTCGCTTTTTTTCTGCAGCAACTATTCTGCTGATCGTATCTTTTGGATCGCTTCAGTTGGGTCGTTGGTGCCTCTTCAGCTTTCATTTTGCTAAAAATACTAAATATAATGATTTAGAGTGTATTTGCTTAACTTTTTAGAGGGTCTCTTGTTGACTAAATGCCCTAATCATAGTTAATAACTATGCCCTAATATTGCAGATAAAAGTACGAAGATGCGAAGGCCAAGAAAGCTGATATTTTCAACGATATCTAATATTTAGGGATCACATTATAGTCTTCGTTCTTACAGCAAAATTATTCTACTCTGTCCCTGTTAAAATTTTGATACACCTCACAAGCCTCTAGTATATCAAGAATGTAGAATGTCGCCGAAGTAGTCTGACTCGCCTTACGGATACC